AAGAAATTTCTTCAACTAAAATAGCATAATTTTAGAATATTGATTTGATTAACAGGGAATTTTTACTTCGTCTCCTCACAACATGTGACGTGCGGGAATAAACCTTATGGTTGTTCTGAGTCATCCATAACAACGGTATAAACTGTTCTGAGAACCTCCGCACAAACGTGTTGTGTATAAAAAATATTTGTAATCGCGAAATTGGTTACTACCAAATGTAGTGTAATCACTAAAAATATCACTGTATAAAAATTTTCTGTCAAAATATTTAATGAAACGGAAAGACAATGGATTAGAGAAATGAGTAGTAGAAAAATTAATTGAAAAGTCTTTTATTAAATTAAAGAAAAATTAAATGAATTTATGGTATACTCTCGGTATACTAATATTCCATGCATAAGCTCTTAAATTCACAGGTGAATCTTTTTAAGCAATATAATTTCACGCTCTTGTTTTCAGATTGCCTATTAAATCCATGCAATTAGTTTAACGTAATTACATTTTTATAAGTCAATTATCATTAAAATCGGCCGCGCAATCTCACTTAAAACATACATTTATTTTGATGATGTTGCCGCAAGTGTTTCAAGGTGAACGAAAATAAATTAAAAGTGAATGAAAAACTTTCACTCAAAAGAAACGTAGATATTTTAAGAAAGTTTATTTTACAAAAAGTATACGCAGAAGTACCTTGTTCTCTTTTAACATTAAGAGTTAAAAATACTACACAAGTTACAAGAAAAACAAATTGACTACTTAACTTAAAGGCCATATTTATTACTTCAATTTTTATATTTGGCCACCAATTCTAGTCCTATTAGAGTTCTCTTATACCTTTTGCTTACAAACCTCATATTTGCCGAAATAAAGTGTGTCGATCATGGGCGCTTAGTCTATAGATTACGATAAATAGGTATTTCTCATATTTTAATCTTTAGTTAGAAAGGTAGTTTACAAGACGAACTGCGGATATTTTACATTGTCATAAAGACTGTGATAAATTCAAGAAAAAATGGTAAACAAACACTACTTCTATCGGACCTAAAAAGTAGTTTACACTTCATTCCCACGTTCAGTTTCGCGTAAAATCCATAAATTACATAGATCTAATCAATCGAGCGCAAACCGAGCAATAGTCGGAAGTCGGTTACTGTGCCGCAGCACGATTTGTTGCAACAAAAACTCACGGGTCAACATTCGAATCTTGAACGCACGCTTCAATACTACTTCTGCATGCAAACTGCCTGACAAGTCTGCACAGGATTGTAATAAACATGCGATAGTTTCAGTTAGGATTTTCCACCAATTTTATTTAAAACAAGTAGATACGTATAACAAGCTGACATATATGGTTGTTAGTCTAAAAATTTTGTTTTAAAATAAATTATTTTTTTATTAGATTGTTTGATTATCTCTACCCAACCTTGACATACGGCCCTTCGCAACGCAAACTAATTAATACACAGCTTCCCTCCCTTCGCCCCCGCGCCCTCGAAGGGCCTGCCACCCCCGCATCCTGCGCACCTCTCGCCCTTTGATTTAAATGTCACAGGTCATTTTAATATACGCCCACCTCAATCCGTATCCGACGCTAGTAATAACATTTTTGCGTTTAAACCATGCTAGGTTTTCGAACTTATATTTCCTTCAGATCTTGACAACTTGCACAATTTCCGATTCAATGCTAATCTTAATAATATTATAAACGCGACAGTTTAGATGGATGGATGGTTTGTTAGAATTTATCACCTAAACGGCTGATCGAATTTCGATGAAATTTGGCCAGATCAAAAGCATAGTACGGAAGAACGTCTAAGTTACTTGCTTTTGGTTTTTTTTAGTTCCACACGGACATAGCTGCGGGCGAAAGCTAGTTTGTAAATAAATGATATGAGTAACATTAAAACAATTGTAATCAAAGTTGCAGTATTTGAATTTGAATTGAACAACTTAATATAGGTGAATTGTTTGACGCTTTCGCAAACACGATAATATGAGTATTCTCAAACAGATAACATAGTTTCAGCAAATAACATAGCTGTACAAATGTCACTGTGTATTTAGTTTGTGATAAAGATATAAATCAATTAAATCTAAATGCATTTTGTTTTAACAATATCTCTCTCCGGTAAAACATTTAAGAATATCTTGTATGTTGATATGTGCCTCTGTTTGTGTCAAACGAAGTCGTGTAAAAATAATTAGGTTAATACCATAATGTTTCAATGCACTCCCAAGCATGCTCGTACGATACTTTAAACTTTAACTTAAAAGACAGAATTTTATTCTTTTTTAAGCTTTATGTTATAGCTGTTCAAATACACGTGGCTATCGGTTAGCTGTACTTATAATTTAAGACGCCAAAATAATTAATTTTAGGGTTTAAGTGTAGCCCTATTTAAGATGCCGTTATATTTAAATGTCGTTTTAGTATAGGCCATATTATTAATTGAAAACTAATGGATTTTGTTTGCAGACTGTACTTGTAAAAAAAATACGTTTACTCGTAATGGTAAACTTTTGTTTCTGTTTAAAACGATTAACAGTACAATCCACGTGTATACATCCGGTATGAGTTAGTTATAAAAAGGTCAGTATCCACTGTCTATAGGGAAGTTTAAATATGAAATAAATATTGTGGTCTTTCTCAGTGCCTTAGAAGAAAACAGAGACAGTATCACATGTATTTCGCTAGTGAAAACTCACTGTAAACAAACATTACTATAAGGATTCATTGCAGCACGTTTTGTCCCTCGCTCGCGTGCTAGTGTGCCGGTACGTGAGGGAATCTACGAGGTTTACGTAACCGTAGGGCATGTCACGTTGACTATCACGTTCAATGAAGCGTGTAGTGACTATTTGACATGAGAATATTGGTTGAAGCTAATCTAAACTATCCATAAACTGAAATAAGCTGTTAGCGTTTACAGTTTGTATTTTTTTTTTTTCGTTTAGAAGCCAACGTTCAGTGGAACGACGAATTTACGTTTTTAGTTGAGCTCGGTAGATTTTCTACAAGATTTTTCTTTTAGACGATGACAGATGTTGCAAAAATCTATTACGTCCGTATACATAGCAATGTTCTAATACAACTGTGACTAAAAAGTACATACAAATTCTTCTAATGACAATCGCATTGTTCCATATAAATTAGCAGCAATTTGAAATGTAACAAAAAATCAACAACACTCCATTGTCAAGACCATACAATTGCGTACTTAATATCGCTTCTTTTTTAATTTCCTACGAAGAGCAGCAGACGTGAAACGTCCAAAGTTTCCGCCATTGTTTATACTTCAGTCCGTTAAAACAAAGCAACTAATAAAAAACAACCATGCTTGTCTGAGAGTTAAATATGTACTTCATATATTTAACATTTATTCATCTTTTGTGAACATACCTTTTTAATACATATTTCTTATAAATGTAGCAATCTTCTAAATTAGTCAATTTATTCTATGTTACGGTGAACTCTTTTATTTCGCTTCATGTGTTCTCGAACTTATTTCTCTTGGGATCCAACGTGTATTATTCTCCAGTCTCTAAGCTCTCGAGTTCTACGTTATTTAATATTTATTATCAATTTAGGACGAATAAAACCAAATATTTGATTTAGAAACCCTCATCATTATCAAACAAAACCATACCAAAAGTTTAAATGAAGAAACAATTGAAACTCGTCTCTGAAGAAAAGTACCAGGCCAGCATAAAGTTGCAGACGGTTGACATAAAATGTAAAAAATAATTCTCGTAATTGCTAAAAAATATTTCTGTATAATTCCATTGGACGTCGTCAAATGAGCTAGGCTCAAGAAAACGATCTAAAAACCTTGATAACTATATTAATCGTATAACAGGTTTATAAACAGCGGTGCAGTGAACTGTCGGAAACTAATTTATCGCAGTTAAACTGCAGTGCAGGTAACCGTTGCAACTACCGCGCCTTAACTGACCTATTAGGACAGTGGATTAATAATCGCGTGACCGCTTATACAATGTCGTACAGTCTAATTGGTATTTACTTAGTGTGGTATTTTAGATTAAAATATGCGGTTTTGCAGTTTGAAACTATTCTAAGTAAAACAATACTTTCGTGTTTTGTGTTTAAATTATATTCTAATGGTTACATGACTAATATTTAACAAATGATACAGATATTATCTATAAAAGGTTAATAAGGGTGCGTGTACATTGTAGTTGAGTTGATCTATAATGATATGCATTATAGATCAACTAAGGAACTAATAGATCAAGTAAGGAAATGAGAAAGACTTGTAGTTGAAATCAAATATCTCACCCGTTTACATTTTTCTATTATTTACGGAAAAAAAAACATAGATAAAATATGTCTTTCGGCAGTGGAAACTTGCAGTATAAGCAGTTTACGTAAACCGCTGATTCTCGTTTCGCTCTGGTCCAGTGGAAGCGCACTCTATAGGACGGTCGTGACTGCGAACGCGAAGGACAGCGAAAGTAAAAGGCTGTATCGAGTTGCCGCAACCCTGTCATTTATCAAACGTCAGGGCGCGTGACGTTTTAGCTGATTACATACCAGCGACTTGTTAATAATATGAAAGCTAATGGATTTGTACAAAGTATGGTGTTATTGTATTACGTACTACACTTTAATTGTAGAGGACGGTCAGCAAATTATAAACTCCAAATTCCAAAGTTTAATTCCAGTACGATTTTTACGTAAATGCTAGTCGCAAGTAAAGGGTTAGATGGTGAATAGTGGGTTCAATTACATATATAAAATTGCTATTCTTTATTACTGACTAGCTGTTGCTAGCAACATCGCATGCGAAATTAAAAAAAATTTTAAAAAAATTAGCTTTCTTACTGATAACGTAGCTTTCTAATGATGAATGAAATCGGCTCAATAGTTATTTGAGTTATTTCAATATATAGAAATATCAAATCTTTCCTCTTTAATATTAGTATAGATATAGATGAAGGTAAAACTATAAGATTTTTGTAACATGAGGTATTGTTTGCAGCGACGAGCGGCGCGGGTAGCGGGCCGGGCGGCGGGGAGGTGAGGCGGGGCGGCGGCGGAGGCGGTGACGTCACGCCGCACGCGCCGCCGCAGCGCAGGCTCATCAAAGTTGATTTTGACAATCTCGAGGTAAGTGATAGATTCCTCGTCTCAAGAGGATTACTAGAATAGACATTAACTCCCCACTCAGAGTGATTAAGTAATCACTAAATTCCAAAGTTTACAGTAATTAAGTATGCAAAGTGGGAAATGCTATAGTCTTTGTATGTGAGGCTTATATTAAGTGTGCAAATATGTATTTGCGTTCAACTTCTAAACAAATAACATGTGTAACATATTGACATGTAATATCCGCTAAATATTACCGTTTCAAATAACTCTGGGAATATTAAGTTTCCTAAGTGGAATTCAGAAATCGATATTTCATTTCGTTCACATCGAATAGATTGGATTCGGTGACTTCCGAAACTGAATATAAATTCACGTTAATTAAAAGGGAAATTGAGATCAGTTTATTGCAGTTCACTTAAATTCAATTAAAAATTCCTGATAATATTTGTTCGACTCGTGTCATAATAAAAAAACCTGAGAAATCTTGACAAGACTTTGTCTGTAACAGTAAAGAGTTGTTTTTTTTTTATAATGTGAAGTGGCAAACGAGTAAGTGGCCACCTGAATCCACCGAAATGGAAAGCGACCGCTGCCCATAAACATCCGCAATTGCAGATGCGTTGCCTACCCTTAATTGACGGAGGAGGAGACGCACATAAAAGGGATATTTCCCCTTCCTATGCGTCTCCTCCACCGTCAAATCCACTTTTCTTTCCCATCCTTTCCTTTTCAGAAAAGGGTGGAAAGGGATTAAAGTTAGGTTGATAAAATCTTTCAATAGACCAGAATATTAATAATTATGGATATAGGTCAGACTTATAAACACAATATATTTGTTTATTCCTTGAATTTTAATATGAATTTCTACTTTTTTATATGTATAATTTATCATTCATTAATGCGACACGCTACATAAGTATATTCTGCGTACATTTCTGATACTAAAACCCTTTATCAGTTTGTAGCACGAGGTTATGTATAAATAGAGTTAAACCTTTGCCTTGATTATACCGCATGGCGTTATAGAGTAACATAGATATTTTTAGGGTCAGTCCCACCAAATTGTAAATTGTCTGATAACAATCCAACGTGTATTTGTTTTGTTTTTGATGGAAATATCGGATTTTCTTGCCTTATCAGCCAGTGGTGCGACAGGCCCTTAATATCGTATTGTTCGGTCGGTATATTCTGAGTTAGCCAAACATTGGACTTCCACGCAATATCATAAACATTAAACTTCTGCGCTGGATAGAATTGGTACGCCTGGATGATAGCAGTGTTCCTAAACGCCTGTTGTTAACTAAGATGGATGTAGAGCAAGTGTTAGACTGAAGCTAAGACAATCTTAAGAATATCGGCGTCAAGGATGCAACTAAATAAGACAGAAGTGTAGAGATTTATGTTCCATCCGCGGTAGTATTGCCCCAGATGTTTATGATTAACATAATATTCTTTTGTATCAGCTATTTCAGGGCGGACATCCATATTTGTATGGTAATCCGCTTTTATGGCTTATAGTTATTTACTCTAGTTAAGTAGCCCCAGTGGTAGAGAAGGTAAGGAGTAAAAGCTTAGCATGGTATGGGCATGGTATGAGGGATGAATGGTATGTTACAAGAAAGTTAGTTATGAGTGTGGGAGGGTACATCGGTAGAGATAGACCTAGAAAGAGATGGATGGATTGCGTAAAAGGTGACATGACCAAAAAGGGAGTGATGACTGAGATGATAGTGTTTATGGAGGACAAAAACCTGTTGCGCTGACCCCACGGAAGTGAGATAAGGAGAAAGACGATGATGAAAAGTAATTTACGCTAGTTGATAAAACTTCAGTTAGTTATATCGTTTTGTAACATCCGTCTCATCACTTTTTCATCTCAAATGTAACGATTTAGGTATTACAGTTTATCACGTAGTCAGTTATGTTGACAATCTTCAGTCGATTATACAACAGTTCCTTATTGCGTTTAACTTTCGAGAGCAATGAGGTTTTAATAGATCTATAGAAAGAGATCCGAGTTTGTGTCGATGACTTTATACGTTCAGTGGCGATCATGCGTGACCAGAATAATTGTCTATTTATAACTATTACGGTAAAGTTAATGGTGTAACGTAATCACATATACAATTTTGATAAAAGATTTTTTATAATTTCAAATAGCAATCGACTAGAACGGATAGAAAGCATCTCTTGTTATTTTTTCTTATATCACGTTTTTGATTCATGATTTCTTTGAGCCGTCGTTGTAATAGGAATGAAAACTCTTGTCTATGCTGCGTATTTCTTTTTAAAATTGTATATGAAATACTTTGCTTTGGATGTTTAGCTATGACGTCATGTTTGGTAGGCCGCTTACGCGTATTTCTCTCAGCTGTATCCTCAGTTCTCTTTACTTATAGATTTAAAAATGATAATTTTGTCCAATCGATTTCTTTGTCTTGTGCAACGTTTATGTTTCGACACAGATGTTTTGGGCTGCAACAATGCATTTGAATTCAAACAAACGCAGCAAAGAAATTGGGTCGTCGTTTTTAACTTTCAGTGCAGAGTTAGCTTACTTCAAATACCTAGACCGTACTGAGGCATTTCGAAAGGAGGTCACAGCCTCCGCGTTCCTGTTAATAACTGTCAATAAAGCTGAAGCGTTTTAAAATAAAATTTATCATTAATAACTTAGTACAAGCTTTATACGATGTTTGTTAATCTCTAACAAACTTTGTAAACGTATTTACAAATTCTAAAGCTTGAGGATTTTGAATTAAATTAAATTGTGTATCAAATCTTATGAATATCTATTGTTTAACCTTATTATTGAAACAATAGTCTGTGTTCTCGACCATCAGAATAAAAATTGTTAAAAATATTTTTCTTATCTTTGTTGGTGAAAAAATATTGTCTTTTTAATGTTGGTACATCGAGTATCAGTTCTCAAAAGTGACGAAGAACATCTTCTAACGGAACAAAATCCTGTAGAAAGTAAACAGTTATGTACACTTGTGCAAACTCGCGTAAGGTTGCTGCGCCCTAGTTTTTCTAACGTAACAGAAATTTGGACTTTATCAACCCTTAAATCATTAGATTTTGCAAGAAAAATTGAAAAGCAAGTCGCAACGTAACTATAAAATGTATTTAATGTTCAATAAAATGTAATTTAAATGTTGGTTAAGCAATCAATTCATCAAAAAATTCTCCTCAGCTTATTAAAACAACGATATACCTCAACATTGCTGGAAGCGACTGGTAAATTCCAATGTACTCTTGAGCGTGGTTACCCACATCGTTAACATCGTGTTTGCGTGTGCTTGTTAATGACTTGTACAGTTATGTTCATGTTATTATTGTTTGAAGAGTTATCATTTTCATATTATATTGATTGATTCATACCGATGTATTGAGTTGTTGGCATGGAGTTTTTTTTTGGACATTTTGAATCGGTTTGTTACTTTGTTTTCTCTTTATCGATACAAATATATTTACACAATCATTAGTAAACGTTGCTTAAATTTTATCTAGCTTTTCTATATATCAAAATAAATAGTTTCAATAATGGAGACGCCTCGGACTGCGGCAAAAAATAGGAAACACCACGGTCGCTCGGATTACAGGGCCGCTAACCGTGTTTATAGCGGAACTGTTACACTTTCTTATTAATAATCACTGTTTGCAATGATAACTTAGTTTTACTGTTATAAATGGTACGCATAATTTGTATTACATTGGTCTCCGAGGTTTTTTTTTAAATTTATCACATCTAGGCATTTTATACCAGTGTTTTATAACGTTAAAGATTTGAATAACTATGTTTACATGTTATTGTAATTAATTTTTACTATAAAAACAATTAATTTATGTCTAATTAATTGGAAGTTTTAGTAGAGCATCAATAATAACCTAAAAACTTGTCCTACTAGAGCGGATATTCTTAGAACTCTCACTAGGTCAAGGTCCAATTTGTCTCATGTTACCTTACACATCGTCTTTATTGTGTGACGATACATTTTTAACTTTCTTCCTTTTGTCATAAGATACAAAATGTATTTTTTATTCTTTGGAGAAACCCTGAATTTTTGAAGTTGCAATATTGACGTCACAGAAAGGTTAAGGCAAATTACGGTTTCGTTGGAATAACCGCAGAGGGTCCGCGGGATGTTTGCCGGATGAAGTCATGTTCGCAAGCTTTTCTGCACTTTCACTGTTATGTCAACAGTGTTTAACAGATGGTGCGTTTGCTTGTAAATAAAACGAAAAGGACTTAGTTTATCAATAACTAGCTACTGCTCACGACTTCTTTCGCGTGAAATAAAAAATGTTACGCAGCGATAACATAGCTTTTTAATGATGTGAGATTTTTTAAAATCGCCTCAGTAGTTTTTAAGTTATGCCAAAACATATAAAAACGCAAATCTTTCCTCTTTTTTAATATTATTAAGATTAGGGATGTACCAATTCATTTTGCGTAGTGATGCTTAGGTTGAAATAAGTGGTATTGTAGTTTCATTCTTATTTAATGAACATGACAGCACGTTTTGCACATACAAATTTCGTAAGTACATTTAAAGGGTTTTCCCTTGTTAAAGGCAGACAATCCGAATGCAATTACTTGAATGTTTGCGCCGCATACTGATTCATTGACCGCTTTCACAATTTATGACGAACTTGAAGGCACAAATGTCTTCATTTACGTTTCTTATTTGTACCTGCCTTTGTAATGAGAACGATTTATTTTATTAGCAATCGTTCGTGACTTCGTCCGTAAATTAAACAAATGATTAAGTAGCCTATGTGTTCTTCCTGACTGCTCTACATAAATGTCAAATTTCATGCAGTTCGGTTCAGCCGTTAAGGCAACAAACTCCAACAACCATTTATGCATTCTAACTTCCACACGTATAGTATTGCAGATGTTTTCAAAAAGTTAAAATCCATTTTTTTTCAGGACGACGAAGACGAAGATGACACCGAAACATGCATAAGTCCGGAGACATGCGTCCCTCAACCTTTCCCCCGGCACACGGCACCTCAGCAGCCAGCCCCTAAACCCTGGAAGCGAACTGGTACTAAACTTTCCTACCTATAAAAAAAATTACACTATTGGTAAACTTGAGTATGGAAATGGCAACACACAGCAAACTAAATATTATCTATGAGCAATGGCAGGAAATCGCTTAACACTGCCACACTGCAATCGCTTGCAACGCAAGACACCAAGCTGCAATACACTGACACAAATTATAGGATTATATTTATAGAATGCGAATAGTTTGTTTTATAAAAATAAGAGTATTATGGATAATAGAAGGTTAAATTGACGTGCTCTTTCCCACCGCTGTCCCGGGCGGGTCCGGCATGGGCACGTGCGAGCCCCCGCGCGCGCCGCCGCGCACTCGCATCTCCCACGACGAGTACCACCAGTTCTGCGACCAGACGCTCGAGTGTATGACTGCTACACTTGGCTGCATGACTCGATATCTTTTGCCTTTCTTTTGCATCCATGTTTAAAAAAGTTAAATGTCACTTTCAATGTCGCTGTTACCAAAAGATGTGCAACCCTCATTTCACAATTTTGTTCGTATCAGATGTTTTACCACAAACTTATTTTTATTGATTTCAACCATTAGGTATTATTTCTGGTTATTCATAATTAAGAGAATCATTACAACACAGGTTAAGCAAATAGCTGTAAGAAATTCCGCTGACTGTACACTCCTTACATCACGTTAAATGGTTACTTATTATTTCGCGCTGTCGCGCTTTGTAACAATAATTCGCTGATCTTGTACAATGCTTATACGACATTTATTTTATTACATAGCAATGAAGTCTTTACTTTCATTATCTAGATTTATATAGTTATCCCTAATATATGTCAATTGACAGTCAATTTCCCATTTTATTAAATCACATTTGCTTTGTTATGCTTTTCATGTTTAAATCCAGTTTAGATAACTTATGTAGGTAGTTTAATATTTACTACCACGCTTTTCGTACTACGCTTTAATTCTGTTATTTATTGATTAAATTTATGTGCATTTGTACTAATAAAAACGACTTCTTAAAATCACGCCTTAAACAATCATTTAATCTGTAATATTTAATGTAAAATATGTGAAAACTCTTGTGTACCGTATGTTTATGATGGTTTTTTACACAGCATACGATCTGGCGACGCAATGTCCGTCGCGGCGCGCGTCAATGCGACGACACACGGTCACGCATGTCTGTCCGCCCAGCGACGGCGCACAGTCTCTGCCGCACTCCAGGTAACTTGCACATGGCTCAATTAATTCGATTGAAAATATTATTTCTAATTGGCTCAATTAATTAAAGCTAAAGCTTTGTTCAAAATTATCGGCTCGAAGGACCAATACATTACTTTGCGATATTGTACTTTACTTTAGCAGACCTTGATTATATCAAGAGAGTTGTAAAAAACGAGACTTCTACAACAGTGAAGTATTCAAATCTGTTGAAACACGAGCCAACTGTATTATGAAAGACAAAGTATGACCATACAGTCTTTACGACTGATTGTCATATGGTCAAGAGTTAGTACTTGAATAGAAGGTTGTAAGTTGCATGTGTTCAGGCCCGGTTCTCGCGCGTCGTGCGCGGGCGCCGCGTCGCTGGCCAGCAGCGAGCTGGACGCGCAGCTGGGCGAGCTGTCCTGGTCGCGGTCGTCGCTGCAGGACGAGCTCATCAAGTCGGTTAGTGGCAGCCCTAGTAGCAAGCATGTGAGTACACGCTAGCCTGACTAAACATTCTGTCGCCAACCCTGATTTTTTCTATTATGTTTATTGGTAAGTTTGTATGAGAGTCATTAGCATGGTATCTCAGCTAGTATTAGTCTCATAGACATTTTATCACAGACAAAAGGACAATTTAAACTGTAATTGCATATTTAGCTAATTATTTTTCATGCTTACATTCTTTAAATATTTTAAAATAATCCTCATATCATATTCATCATTAACCTATAATATAAAAATGCAAAATTTGCTATCGTATTATAATGTAAGGTATTCAATGCATTTTTATTACGGTTGATGGTATGCGTGTTGTATAATCTGTGTTATATTGTTGTGTTTGTTTTGCAGAAGCAATGGCAGGAGGCGATAATGTCGGACGACCGGCTGTCGCTGACGCTGGAGGAGATCGTGCACATCAGGTCGGTGCTCACCAAGGCCGAGCTCGAGTTCCTGCCCTCCGAGGGCAGAGTCAAAGAAGACGTAGAGAAGAGAAGAGTGAGTTCACATGTTTTTACAACTCTGACTGATATTTTTAACAAAAATTCTTAAAAATAATTATACTTTCATTTCAATGCCACTTTCAGGTGTGTTTCCTTTGTTTGAAAACAAGATTTGGCATATTCGGCCCCTGGGGGCAGAAATGCAAGCTATGTAAAAAGACTGTCTGTCAAAAGTGTTGTTCAAAGGTGAGTTGCTATTGTGCTATATTGTTGGGTGTTGTTTCTAATCTTACTCGAATAGGACATTTTACTAAATTTATGTATGTTGTACAGATGCGCATACCGACGGAACACTTCGCGCACGTGCCGGTGGTTCTGCTGAGTCCCTCGCTGCTGCCCTCGCCCGAGGACGAGGCGCCCTCCTTCCCCCGCAGCCTCGTCTCGCGCCTCGTCTCCCCGGAACACCATGTTAGTACTCTCTCCTCTTTTTTTACCATCAGAAATCAATGAGTTATCTGACTCGAGGGACCAACTTCCAGACTGTAGCTGTTACTGACATACTGGGTTAATTAACGTTGGCATTGTCCTAACAGGACAACAGCGTGGGCAGCGCGCCGAGCAGCCCGGTGTCGCGGCGCGCCTGCCCGCAGTCAGCGCCAGGGTCGCGCGGGGGCTCGCGCGGGGGCTCCGCGCTCGGCTTCGCGGACCTCGCCGTGCACGCGCCCGGCGCCATGACGCGCTCCGTGGACGGGCCCGGCAGCATGCCCTGCGTCATCAACGACCGCAGGTATGACTATCAACAAATTGCATATCAGTGCCTAACATACTATTATAAATGCGAATATTTAGATGGATTGTTGTTTGTTAGAGATTGTAGCCTAAACGGCTGAACGGATTTCCATGATATTTGGTACAGATATAGAGGATAGTCTGCAAGAAAACATAGGCTACTTTTTGTTTTTTTTTTTGTAATTCTACGCAGACGGAGTTGCGGGGGAAAGCTCATTAAATTGTAAGTGTAATATTTGACTGAGGTTATGTTTCGTTGCAGGTCGCGTTGCGGGCGGGGCGGCGCGGCGGCGGCGGAGCGGCTGCGCGGCGTGCAGATGGCGGTGTGTCACGACTGCAAGGCCATGGTGCTGCAGATCATCAAGTCGTCGCGCGCCGCGCGCTCCGCCTCCCGCGACCGCGCGCTGCGACATCTCACACTGGACCTGGCGCCCGTCTACACGGACAACTGTTAGTGCGCACCACACTATACAGCCCGGTGCGAGCGGGAAATATACAGAACTATTCAAACGCTGCAGTGTTGGTTGTCTAGCGGAGACTCGCTTGGATCTGGTCACTATTGTATCTTATTAGCGGGCAGTATGCGTCAATATATCACAGAAAGATTATAATGATGGTGTAGAATTGGGTTTATTCGTATAATCGGTGATTTGACCGACATATCGAAATTGACCTTTCAGACTACTATCTCAAATTGACCACCCATGCGATGAAAGAATCGAAGTCGTGATGACTGGCAGCACATTTTCTTTTTAATTCCAGCTGAATCGTGGTTATCGGTATCTGCGAGTTTAAAATGTGACTTAGAACCTGACTAATTATGTGCAACATTTATTCAGCAACCGGTAATGGCACGATTTTGTGTGCCCCAAGTCCCTCCGTACTTTTTTAATCTTTTCTTGATTTAAAATTAGAATCCCATTTAAATTTAGAAGCTGCTTCTTTTTTCTTGGCAATGTCAAATATTAATAACACTTTTCAAACGTAAAGTTATAGATCACAAATTATCTTTTGTTTCTCAGTGAAACTACTGAAAATATCAGACGACAAATAAGTTTTTTAAAAACATAATTAGGTTGTTTAAAGAAATCTCCTTTTTGTTTTTTTAAATAGATTTAATACTTAAAATTTTGGTTATAAAAACTTTTTGATCGACAATGTAGTTGCTTGAATTTTGATCGTTTGTTACTAATATCGTAGGATTGTTTGATTTCTTTTAACTTGTGACGTGATTACGGGCAAAGAATTAATTTTCTTTGTCAAATATTCCGACCGTAAGCTAACACGTGATCAATTTTTGTTTATTAATTTAAACGAAATGAGATTTCAAAAAATTACACTTAGTAAAAATTTACGGAGAGACATTAATTTGACTATATGTAGAAAATATTTTATTTTTCCAATACTTTAAGTAAAACTGTTTAAGAGCTTCCGAGGTTGTATAGAATTATTGTTGAGTTTCTAGACGGACCGTACTAAGTACATTTTGATTTTCACGTCGACAAAAAATTATTTGACAAGACTTTGACATTGACAGGTAATACATAGCTTCATTTATTTTTATTTATCGCACAAAAAAATTAAAAAAACCTTCTTCAATTAGCAATCTAAAATACTCAAACTACAAACAATATAGAAATTAAAGTAAAAAATAGATTATATTCAAGAAATTACTAAAATTGTATTTTGTCACCTAGATTATATATGTAATAAATATTATATATTTTTCCGAATAATAGATTTAAAATATGTCTACAACTTAAATATATAGCACGATGTTCTGTGTTCAAACTATAAATGTTCTGTAAAAGAGGTATATCTGAATGTTTAGATACTCCATATTTATTGTGCTAAAATTTAATTTTGTATAAAGCTCGCACACCGTATCCTTAGATAGCCAACTGGCGCCATAAGAGAGCGTATGTATTCATCATTACTCCACAATTAACCAATTATTTTCAATTATAATTGTGTTATAAAAAAACAATTCGAAGTACTGTGCCATAACCTTCCACTGTTGCATTGTCGATGTGCGATCAAATGACAATTGCTCGTATGTTTGACGTAAATAAAAAAAATAAACAGTTTTGGTTATTTTTTATTTCTATTTATTTTATAAGATAATTGTAAAACTGTATGTGCTATTTGTGAGCTGACCATATATTTCATTTTGAATACTAATATGCTTCATTCCATTTTTTTATAATACCTAACAAAATTGTGCAGATTCTTGCCATAAACAATAGCAAGTCTACAAAAAAATGCTCATTTTAACAAATTGCCATCTTTAGATCCTTGATTATAGGTATTTATTAAGAAAAAAATATGTAGGTGCTAATTGTTTTACTATTTCAATTTGAAATTCGGTCAGCTCGCATTCACTTCTGTTATAAAAATTAAAATTTCACTATATTTGCTTATCTTTCACTCATTTCTAAGGTTAACCTAGTTTTAATTAAATTATTTTGCCAAATATGTAACCTATCCAAGACCTTATTGTAAATAGAGATTTCTTTAGTGTCATCTATGTGAATATCTGATAATTCTTGTGTTTGTGTTACTAATATTGGTATATTGAATTTGTCTATATTGTGTCAATATTTGTAATCTGTGGAATCGGTTGGTACCTTGGAAATAAAATCTGCTTATTGTGAATTACCCAAAAGGCCTAGATAGTCATAATACCCTGCCATTTGTGTTTCTTTGTAATTTCCTTTTTAACTCTCCTTATATAGTATCCGAATTGAAATCGTACCTTATTAAAATCGAATTCCCAGTTAGAAATTTCGTGAATGTATATAAAACCTTGGTAGTCTATATTAGATGTTATGTAGAATATAAAAGAAATAATAACGGGAAATAAAACAAATTACAGATCGTTATTCACTGGTTTTATTTAATCACAAGATCCCTAGTTGTAAAATGAAAAATCTGCACTAAGAGGATGTTTAGTAACTAACTCTGAGCGAGCTAATAAATGGTAAGAGTCAAATTGCAGGTGTACTATAGCAAAATAAATTATACTACTTACCAACAAAATGTACTATTTAGTACGTCGCTCATAACAAAAAGTACCTTCTCCAGAACGAAAATAAATTACATCCGCCATATTGACGTCAACACTAAATAGTACATTTTATTGGTAAGTGGTATAATTTAATTCGCTATGGTACACCCGCCATTTTAATTTTCACAATAAATTATGTATTTGTCCTTTGGGAGGAAACTAGTGATGTTACCAATATCCTTGTTTATTGAAGTGTGATCAAAATATTAAAAATCAAATTAATTGTATCCATTTTTATTTTTTTAACAAAAACAATAAAATGACACTGAAATAATACAACAAAATGATATCACATTACATTTTATTTTTCGATCACTATTGATGGTGTTGATTAAATAAATTGTCTAATAAATATCACTTAACCTACAATCAAGAGGCCTCCTTCTACAAAGTTGTAGGGAGGTATTTCTAGGTTAAGTGGTGCGGGGCCTTTGCGGATACGTCCGGATGCGTCGTAGTGGGAGCCGTGGCAGGGGCAGTAGTAGCCTCCAAAGTCCCCAGCATTGGCAATGGGTACGCAGCCCAAGTGAGTGCACACACCGATGACAACCAGCCACTCCGGATCCTGGGCCCTCTTCTCATCGGGCTCAGGGTCACGGAGCTGGTCAAGCGGTACCGCTTTCTCTGTGGTGATCTCTTCAGCTGTCCTGTGAATGAAATGTTATATTATAAATGTGAAAGTTAAGATGGTTGGATGGATGTTAGTGTTAGGAAAGTGTCACACTGAAATGTACCTAAATAGCGGATCTTGATGAAATATGACGTAGATGTAGAGCATAGTCTGGTAGAACACATAGATTCTTACTTTTTTAATTCTGCGCAGGTATCATGGGCAAAAGCTAGTAATGTTTACAGTAACCAATTAAACAGGAAGTCAAGTCAATTTAAAAAAAAATATTACTTACGAATTTCTAGATAAACATTTAATTTTCATGTTTCTCTATAGACTATACTTGCCATAGTACAATCAATTTTATAAAGAATAAATTTACCTGTGACGAATAAACAGCGGCTTTCCACGCCACTTGAAGGTGACAGACTTGCCCTCGGGAATCTCAGCAAGGTTGATCTCGATCTTGGCTAAGGCGAGCACATCGGCTGCGGCCGCCATCGACGACACGAAGTGGGTGACCACGGACTTCGCGGCGTCCCCCCCTGCCACTCCACCAGCTGCGGAAAGGAATTATCAACTGTTAATTACTTATTACTATGATAAAAGGCTGCATTATATTTTAAAATATTTTTTTTTTATAAATCATATGGTGACAAAAAGGCAAGTAGCCAGACACATTGAAAGAGGATATTTTCTTTTCTTATACCACCTCATCAAATCTAATATAAGACCCTCAATGCATCTTTGGTTATGCAGATGTCCATGGGAGTCAGACCTAGTAGCAATATGCGTTGCATGTTGCATGTTAAGGAATAAAAAAATTCCCTACATCCATCCCGATGTTTTTAAACCACTGTAATTCATATGCTTGTAAGGTCTTAATAGCATCTAAGAGGTGATAGAGAATTTCATCATACTAACATTACAAATGCAAAAGTTTAGATGGATGGATAGATGTTTGTTAGAGTTTGTAGTCAAAACAGTTGAACAGATTTTGATGAAATTTGGTATAATTGTAGAGGATAGTCTGGGCAAACACATAGACTATTCACTTGTTTTTTTTCTTATTCCACGCGGATGGAGACGCAGGGGACATCTAGTAATTAAATAAAACAAATTGACATTTGCCCATCCATCTTATGGTAAAATAGATATGAAATCAATTTCAATAAAGACCATGTTAATAGTAGCTGCTCTAGACCTTGATCATTGATGGATGCCCATGATCTGAGGTCTTTCTTCAGTATTGTTCCAATGGGCTTAATTACAGTCACATAATACATAGGGACTGATTTAAGCGACAATTAGTGTAATTATAGTATGATTCACAAGAGATTTAATAAGCTTATAGAATACACTTTTGTGGTCATACAATTCATAACAAGATCTCGAGTCTTGTATTTTGTACTCCATACAACTCTACAATCAGATTAAACTTTTAGCTGTATGTTTGATATTCACTGAATTACAACAAAGTGTGAATAATATAACTAAGTAATGCTTGTAAACTTTGTCATGTAAAACATACATGTATAATTAAAAATGTACTAACCTCCAGCGACAAGATAAGTGAAAGAGTTGCGAGCGTCGACATTTTCCTTGGCCTTCGATTTGGGATCCAAAGTTTCCTTCCGACGGTACGCAGAGAAGTCAGGGTAAGCGATATCAGAATGCGCAAAACGTACTTGATTTGGCACTGAAAATGACATGTGTTATGTAACAATAATTTTCACGCATAATATCGATTAATTATTTTCTAACAGTATTAAAATATGTAGATTAACTTACGGTTGGTTGTATGCTTAACTTTCAAACCCTGAATAGGTAGGGCTCCATGCAAAGATTGCACAGTTGATGTCTTCGGCAGAGGTTGCACGACCAGTTTGTCAACAGGAGTTGGGACTGCGACCACGGGCTTCAAGCCATTGGCGACCACTTGGGATGTGGCCTTGAAATATGGGGCTAAGTGTCCAGCCCTTGCTACGGAAGTCATTTTGCTACACTTATATCCTACGCAATACAATTGCTATAATTTTTCGCTGGGTGCGAATTTTGGCAGGTTTCGTAACGAAACGTCAAATACCTGTGTTGCCACTTCAACAAAACCACAGAGAAATTAGAATGCAAAAAGGTATTTAATATTTCAAGAATCAAAAAGCACTCGCTATTTTTTTTCGTTTTAAAATACCTTTACCTTTTCTAAATGGTCGAGTTTTTTTTATTGGTAACGTTGTACATATTTTTACCAACATAAATATTTGATTTTTAATCGCAAATATTTTTTCCGCGTTTACAGATTTTATCCTAGATGGCGCTGAATCAAAAAATATAAAAAACGAGGTCTGGTTTTCAAAATAAAAGTAAGGTTGCCTACCCTTTTTACAGTTCATGAAAAGGGGTAGGCTGAGGCTATGTACCTACTTCTATTTACTTATTTGTATCTCTCACGCGCTTTACTTATACGGTACCTTTTTGCTTTTCAATTATTACGGGTATAACTAAATTGTAATTTACCTAAACTGAATGATACTTTTTTATCACCTTCTCCTTTCATAGTAACGATTTTATGCCATGGCTTCACGGTTTATCGGTCACGGTAATGTTTCACGATTTATCTCTTTTTTTATTACTACTACTGTATTACTTATGTTACGGTCTTATTGAAACTGAATGAAATACTTATTATTAAACAATCATAATGTAAGTAAAGTGAATTGTAGGTTTCAGATATTTCTTTGGAAAGCACTATTTTTATTTTTATTTCTACTACAAACAAGTACCTAGGTACTATAATTTAATACAATTACTCTTATGTCAGTTGCAATACGAAAAAAAAATTAACGCACTAAATACTTAGGAGTCGATTTATACAAAATTTAAAAGAAGCGGAAGCCGATGATCAAGTATTTGATTTATTTATGTGCAATCATTAACTCATTGAAGTTGTCAAAGTTAGATTTGGTCGTATTTTTAAATTAAACAATTTGACAATAGGACGCGGATGCGTTTGATACGTGACACGACAAGCCGGCGCACATTGGGCTGTATCAAGTTGCTCCATAGACAACTTTATCTGATGTTTGAAATGTCTCTTTTTTTTGCTTGAATGTGCTTTGTAT